AATGGCCTAGTATCAAGATTGTACGTATAATCCTTATAACTTAATAGTAGATACATAACAAATTAGATACAGGAAGATATCTTAATAGGTATTTCTCCAAACAAAGATACACCCCAGTGTCTGTATGTCTGGGAATTAAAATGCCCAGGACTATCTGTGTGTTAAGCAAGTCATTACCACTGAGCCATCCATTCCCTCAGCTATAAAGAGATATACAAATGGCCAATAGGCATTTGAAAAGATAATAAGTATTAGTAGCCATTAGGGAAATAACAAATTAAAATGACAGTGAAATGCTATGGAGCACCCACTAAGATGATTGTAGCAAAACAGAGTTTGTTGACAAGGGTCAAAGAGATTGAAGGCTCCTACCACTCGTGGGAATGTAGGGTAGTACAACTCCTTTGGAAAACAACTGGATAGCTTCTGAAAACATTGAACAGAGTCATCATGTAACCCAGAAATTCCTCTCCTACTTCTGTATCCAAGATAACTGAAAACACATGTTCACACATATATGGACATTCTTTGTATTAGCCAAAGATCCATTCCTGTAAGAGTGGATAAACAAAATATGATACTTTCGTACAATTAAACATTACTTGCCCATAAAAAAGAATAATAAATATAGCACAAATGATCTGAAAACATTATGGTAGATGAAAGCAGCTTATATTGTATGAAGTCATTTATATGAAATGTCCAGACAGGAAAATCCACAGGCAGTAGACCCATGGTGCCAGGGAAGGAGGAGGAGCAATGGAAAGATTCCTAGCAATATGGAGTTTCTATTGGACATAATAAGAATACTCTAGAATTAGACGGTGGTGTTTACATAATATTTTGAATATATATCAAACTGCTGTATTGTATACTTTAAAAGAATGAATGTTACGGTGCTTCAACAAAAAAATGTTGGGGAAAACTTCCCCATGACATAAAACTAGTTAATATAAGGAGTTACTGATGAACTTAATTGCTCACAAGCTTAAGGACATGCATTAAGTTTTCTGAGCCTTGCTAGGCAGCATGGGTCCCTGGGAACGGTCTCAGGTCCTCAGAGAAGAATGGCTCCTTCTGGGGATGTTTTGGGCACAGTGATCTGGGTGTCTGCTATCATTAGTGACTGACCTGGACACACATTCATCTCAAAGTGACCCAACCACCTCTGATCCTGTCACTATGAAGATTTTGTCATAGTCTCAAGCTTGTGTGTCTGGTTCTGTCTCCTCTGGGTGAAATCATTTCCAGGTGGTTCCTCAGCTCTCCCATGACTGATCTGGGGTGGCCAGTGGAGTCACGTAGGAAGATGTGATAGCATTGCTTGGCCTAAAGGTGGAAATCCTCTTCTGCTTCCTGAGTGTTATCTTAACATGGGTATTAATAAGAGTCCCAGGGATATCCTTTTCCTGAAGTCCTAAGCAGGGTAGACTTTCTCCTCTTCAGCTCTTCTCTCCATTCACCTGCCCAGCATTTAGCGTCTACTTATCTACCCGTTCATAAACATTAGTCCATTTACACACCCATCTATCCATTTATATATACATCCCATTCACTCATCCATCCATCCATACACACATCCATTCACTCATCTACCCTTATATCTACCCACATGTCTAACCATAATCTGTCCATTCATATTCTATAATCTACCTATATGTTTAATCATCTATCCACTCATAATCTGTCAATCCATCCACGTATATATCCATCCATCCACCCATTCATCACAGTTCCGTCCATCTCTTCCAATTTATTATTACCTGGTATACCAGGGTCTTTGTAAAGTGAGTTAGTGAACAATAGTTGCACCTGGAGTTTGGAATATGAGCCAAGTAATCTTTTTTCCTAAGTCTTCTAGAGATTTATTGAGTTTGGACTCTTACTGGGATGTGTGGATGGTGAAAACATTTGGTAGACATGATGACCCAGTCAAGGATTCCCAGGCAGTTTTACAAAGGCTGAGCTTTCCCACCAATTTCTTTCTTTTCCTTTCCCTTTCCCCTGCCTCCCTCCCTCCCTCCCTCCCTTCCTTCCTCCCTTCCATCCTAGAGCAAGTAATTTTTTTCTCCCAAATACTTGCAAATGTGCAAGCTCTCCCCTGAGGGTTCCTTCTGCCCAACACAAACCCTCTGGTCACCAGTTTAGCTTGTAATCCTGGGGAAGAAAGGTCTCCACTTACTTTCGAGACAGTGAACGCAAGCAAAACAAAAGTGCCCAGCATGGGCGGCCCAAGGCTCCTTGTTGAGCTCTCATTACTCCAGGGCCCTGGCAGGCCTGAGCCACCTCCGCCACCCACTTCACCCCTGGCCAGTCAGGGTGAGCAGCAGGGCAGTCTGGAAGGCTGGTCAGGGTGAGCAGCAGGGCAGTCTGGAAGGCCGGTCTGGAGTCTCTGAGAAGGCTGCTTCAAAATTCTTGGCTGGCAAGCTCAGGCTTGCTACCAGCTAACTCTTACATCTAAATTAATCCATATTTCTATTATGCTCTGCCACACGGAGGTACCCTTATTTATTTATTCACTTATTTTTTAAGATTTATTTATTTTGTACACACTGTTCTGTCTGCATGTCAGAAGAGGGCACCAGGTCTCATTATAGATGGTTGTGAGCCATCATGTGATTGCTGGGAATTGAACTCAGGACCACTGGAAGAGCAGTCAGTGCTCTGAGCCATCTCTCCTGTCCTGGAGGTACCTGTATTAGCACGGCACATTCATATCCTGCTCGCTCTGCATCTGGCTGGCAACTCTTCAGACTCTGCCCATCATTCTCAGTTTGGCTCTCCCACCTGACTGTATCCGGTTCAGCTACTGGCCAATCAGCTTGTTTACTAAGCCAATCATAGCGACATATATTCACACAGTGTACAGAAGGGCTACTCCACAGCAGTCAAGCACTGTTGAGCACAACCTCATGCTTTCTAGATAACATGTCCTGTCTTCATAGCTGGTGGTAAAGGGAAGGTCCTGTAGTTTGACTGTCTTTTCCAAACCTCATGTTGAAATTTAATAATCACTGTCATAGTATTAAGAGCTGGGGCTTTTAATAAAGGGACTATCATGAGGGTGTGTTCTCATGAGACTGGTTGATTATCATGCAGTGGGTTAATTATTGAGACAATGTGTTTCTAGTCAAAAGATTAAATTCAGTTCCATTCAGGCTCCCTTGTCCTTCCACCTTCTGCCATGGCCGGGGCAGCCAGAAGATTCACAACAGACATCACTGCCTTGAGCTTGGACTTTCAAGGTCCCAGACTTGCGAGCAAAAAGTTGGGCTTTATAAATGATCACCTATAGTAATCTTTTGCAGGTTCAAAGAATGACTCAGGCAGCAATTCCATTCATGAGGGCTCCATCCTCATGTCCTAATCAATCCTCAAAGGCCCTACTTCTCAAGATATTGATTAAGTGGGGGTGGGATTCCAACATATGAATCTGGAGGGCATAAAGACCCAGATAGCCAGGAAATGCTGTTAGGGCTGCATTCATCTGCAATGTCTTCTGCTCCCCTGAATGTAGGGGTGAAGAGTGCGTGACTGCCACACTTCCCAAGATATCTTAGAGAAAGGGGGTGCACTTGAGTCCCCAAAGGAATGACATCAGACATTGGGAGCAGAAACTATGGCCTACTCTGAGATTTTTCTGAGTATGATAATGCTTCACTATCCGGACAGCAAGTTTATATAATCTAGTCTCCATGAAAACCTATTCTAAGTACCTGTTTCATTGAAATCTGGGTTTAGTGGGTCATGAAGTGCTTAAGGAGTGTCCAGCACATGGGAGATATTAGGCAAGAGTTAGCTATATTATTTTAATAACGCTGCTACTTTTCACATGTTCCCTGCCTGTGCAGACATGGATGGCATCTTAGGCTTAGCCTTCAGATATTCCTCATACTCCCTAGGAAGCCACTTCCCTTGCACAAGCAGGGCCCATGAGAGCCCCAGTGGTTACATTGGCACCATGATCCATGGGGATCTTGTGGAAAGAGTTCTGGAATTCCCACATTCTATCCTGGTAAGGACTGGGCCAAGTCAGCATGAGCCTGTTAACATTACAGCATGCCCCTCCTGTCCAGTGAGAGGAAGCAGTACGCTTCAGTGGGGCCTCCTCCACACAGAAATACTTTTGGGTTTTGTGTTTTAAATTCTCATTGTGTACATTCATTGTACATGATACTGTGTTACATAAAGATTTTCATACAAGTGTATCATATATGTTTAGAGAATAGTCTGCCACCGTGCTCCTATGTTGTTGTGTTTAGTGAGTTCGTTTGCTGTCTTGTTGATGGGTTTGTTTCACGGGTTAGGCTGATCTGGAACTCATTACATAGCCCTAGCTGACCTATAATTCATGATTCTTCTGCCTTGGGTATCTCAGGCATCTGCTGTCACGTGACATACTAGGAAGTTTCTGTAACCAGCCAGGCGTGGTGGTGCCCCTGTATAACCCAGTGTTGTGGGTAGAGACTGGTGTTGACCGGCTATGGTCCAGCTAATCTGTGAGCGCCAGTTTCGGTGAGAGATCCTGCTTCAAAAACTAAAGAAGGGAGCGATGAAGCAAGACACCTGACATTGACTTCTGGCCTACAACCCTCCCTCTGCCACCCTCACACCTGCAAATACACAAGGCTATACTGCAAGCTTGCTCTGTTCCTTGATTAGTCAGCTACCTCATTTCCTGTCGTTACCTCTCCAGGGACTTATAGATGTAGATCTAGAATGTCATCTGCACACCTAAAATCACTTCGGCTCTTCCCCAATTTGTCCTGGAGGAAGTGGGCCACTAGGCATGCACCTTGCCTGACTCCTGCTGTGCTTTTGTTTCCGGTCTACCACACTGTCCTGGGGCCACAGTCTGACTGAACCATCAGGATGGAATGAAAGCCCCTGAACCACAAGTCCAGACATACCTTTCCTCTGTTAAACTGTTTCTCTCAAGTATTTTAGCCACCATGACACAAAAGTAACTAACACACTCTCTTCTGTCCCCCCACTCCCAGGCCCTCTGGCTTTTAATTCACCCCATGCTAGAGGAAAGCTTTCAGAAAAAAGAATTGAAGAAGTGTATGATGGATGACTGTGCAGAGAGATCTGTCTTCTGAAAGCACGTCCTTCTTGCTGAGATAACGCCGTTCTGAGGATAGGCTTCGGATGCTGGGGCAGAGCCAGGCCAGCTGTGTGGAGCTGTACTCCAGCCAAGCAACTGAATGTCTGCTCTCGGGCGGTCTGAGGAGCTCTTAGAGCCCTCCGCCTCGGCCACTGAGGGCCTACTCTTCCCTTCTGTTTCCAAGAAAGGTCACAGAGAGAAGGGTTCTTTAGCTCTGGAACTCCACACTTGGTACCAAGTCTTTGTATGGGAGCCTGTAATGGATGAGCGTGCTTGCTCCGTCAGCCAGTTTTGTTAGGATTCATGATTCTGGAGGTCCCGTGATAGAAGAATTACCAGAGCTAGAATGAACTGGCAATGTCATTAAATTAGCATCTGCACTTATAAATATAAATGTCCAAGCACAAGAAAGTCCAACTTTTATATCCTCTGAGTAAATACACTTAATTTTCCTTAAGTTTCAGTCAGAAAGGCTTCATGCATGGCCTGGGGTCATGAGACTACACAGAGTATCCTGTCAGGTTCCTGAGTTCTCACCGTATTCAGACCTTCACGAAGAGCATACCTTCGTGTTCAGCCATTGTTCCCTTTCAGTTCCAGGGGAAGGTCAGCTACTGTTGTCAGTGCTCATCTTATGTAACTGTAATAAAGCCTTGTGCCCTGAGAGACTTCCACAGCCACATCACCATCTTTGGAATCTGAGTTTATCAACATACTGGCTACTCCCAAATACTTTCACCAGAGCCTGCTGTGTCTGGTGCCTGTGGGTCACAGGGGAGGGACAACCTTACAAAGGGTCAGCCTTATCCCTCGGTAAGATTTCTTGAAGCAGAATGTCATGTTCTCACCACCCCTAGAATCTAAACCACTCAAAAGGAGTTCTGTACTTTGCTCTGAGTGGCCAAACACTACAAACACTACTCAAGTTCAAAGTTACATAACCTTGGCACTCAAAAGGCCGCGTTCATGAACAGACAGTCTGTGTTTGAAGGTGGAAGCCTCAGACAGTGCCCAGACTCCAAAGAGTATCCAGTCCTTCTCAACTTGAGGGTGTTAGGCAGGCATGTTCCACCTCTGGAGCAGACTGTTTTCAGGATTCCACACGTGCACACGCAGGTATGCACACATGAGCACACACATACGCACACTCGGGCATTGTTCAGCTGCGACACCAGGGTCAGCAGGTTATAGTGACCTTCCAACCACTGGTCCCCTTTGGCTTTCGTTATGCAGATACACACTCTTACTGTGTAAAGTTTGATGCAACAGGCAGAGCTCTTACATGGTGAGGGAAAGACCCTTGTGTAATTTTACTGATGCTCATGTAAGGGAATATTCACAATGGACCAGCAGTACTGTGAAGGGGCAGATGATGCTGGGGGACAGGCTGCCATCTGCTAAGTATGGGTGGGGTTCTGGCGACACAGGCTACACGGCAGTGATGTGGCTCTCACAAGGAGGCGGGGACAGGTCACCTCACCGTGTAAATGAGTAACATAGGACTGCAGTTTTAATAATAATTTCCTCCAAACATTTTTAGGGCATTGAATTAACTCAAATGAGGCCTGGAATGACTAGTTCAAGTTTACACAGGGTCTAGAACCTCTTTTCAGACCAGTTCTAGTTAGTGGAGGGAAGTTATAACCAGTTCTACCAGTGGAAAATTGGGACTTTAGTAGTTCTGCCAGAGCAAATGTTAGAAGATCAAGGTAGTGGGTAAGATCTTTATGACAAAGCACTGTCCATGTAAGTATGCTTACACTGTATATATTATCAGTTGGATTTTAAAGTGGATGGCAGCTACCCCAGAGATGGGATTTCAAAAAGGGGCCACCCATGTAGGGGAGACTGGCCTAGGATTTGGGGGATTTTTCTTCTAACTGCATTTGTTGGAAGCCAATACAGATAGAGGATAAAGCAACCATTTTCTGTTTCCCTCACTCTGCATCTCTGTGCTGGGCTCACTGAGGAATTTCACTTTGACTGGCCTGACAGGCCCAGGAAGGAGCCAGGTGCAGGGGAGATGTGCTCTCTGGAGCTGGTCTTTCGGGAACTCTGGCCAGCCTGTGTTCAGAACCCACTTCTAATGGCCTAGGAAGCCTCAGGGTTGGGTTGGAGAAAATCCCCTGGCACCGAAGGGTTTCTCCTCCTCCCAGGGTTCCCAAGAAAAAGGGGGTAAAGAATTAAGTGATTCATCTCCCTCTGCTGCTCCCTTCAAATCCTCCCGCTCTGACCTACTTCTGCGGCTGCCTTGAAGCCACCCCATCTGCAATGAGGTCATCTTATTGGGGGCACAAAGGATTCCAGGGGGAACACACATTATGCACTGTGGCGGCTATTCATGGCGCTCATTCCTCCTGGCTGCTCAGGACTAACAATGAACCTTCTCAGCGGTCCGTGGGCTTGCAAGAGAGCCTCGGGTTGGATGTCTTTCAGGGCATGCCCTGCGGGCACACAGTGCAGTTATTATTATGTCTTGGCTCTAATGAGGGCCTGGGAACAGCTCGGAGTGACCTATAATTAAGTACATTTAATAATAAATGTACACACGTCTTCCGTACTCCGAGAAGTGAAAACAAAGCAGCTTTCCCCTCATCTTCCCCTTTTCCAAATAAGAAAACAAAAAAGTCTATTTTCTCTTTCAAAGAACAATTGCAAAAGATGTCTGCCTAGTGGGAAAGGGACACTTAATTCCTGGAGAACATTCTTTCCACGTTTAAACAGAATGGCTCTGCTGACTCGGGTTCTCTGCGGAGATCTGTGAAGGGCCTACATCTTGATCTACTCTGGTATGCTACTTCCAAAGGCTGCTGGGGGCAGTGACCTCGGGTAAGCAGCCCCTCAGTTCACTGCTGCAGCCAGGGGACAAGGAGCAGTGACAAGTCTTCCCAGAAGTGCCCCATGCCCTAGTCCCCACACCTCCGAGACCCCCATAGGACTTATGAGGACAAGGGCTAGGAAGACCGCTCTAGGAAACAAAGACAGGTTACAAAAGTCACCCTGGAAGAAAGGAGGGGAGGAGTGGAGGCTGCCAGGGAGCAGCAGCTTGCAAGGGGGTGAGGGGCTCACATGAATCGCCAAAGGGGGAGGGGCATCTAGCCTTGTCTACCTGCCTGTGACCGTGGACATCTCCAAGGCTCCATGTCTGTCTTTGTAAAGTATACTAACAGTTCAACGAATAATCATACGATCGGGAATCTTGTGAAAGTGATGAATAGCGCTTTACCAGTAAGAAGCACACACCGTGCAAACCATGAGAACCGAGGGACGGAACGCACAGAACCATTTAGCGGATTCCCGATGGGCAGTGAATCATCAGCAAGTGTGATTATTAATGATACAATGGCATTTCTAAGGGACTTGCTGCATTTGGGAGAAGCAAGCACCCGGAGCCAACCCTGAAAACACTGGTGTGACACAATGCTGGAAACCCACTGCTTTTTATTTGACAACTGATGAACAGGAAGCAGGGTGTTAGAAGGAATGGGGGACACTTTTTCTGTCCTATAATTAAACGAAGTAAATTTACAGGCCTGTACGATGACAGTGTACATGGCTAGGGAACATCGTCAGGGAGGGTGGTTTTTCCAGCTTACGGTAAGTCAGTCCACACATAACGGTGCCCCCGGCACTGCTGACTTCATTGCCAGCTATGAGAGGAGCACTTTATTAGACGGCTTGGGAGACCCCTGTTGGAACATGTGACTTTGAAAATGTGAATAGGTACACTTTGAAAGAAAAGAATTTAGCTGAAAAGTATGTTTTTCTTTAGTTAAACCTAAAGAAATCTCCAGTTAGCATCTGTCAGCACACTGCTTTTAACTTTGTGTAATCCGTCAGACATAATCTTTCTTACAAGCATTGGCTACCTTCATCGCTGTAATTTGGACAGCTAAGGGTACTCCACTGTGAGAAAGCACTAAATGCAGGAGATCTTCATCCTTGAACTTGGGCGGCACGGAGAGTACGACACTTGCTGTCTATTATCTGAGCAGGTTCCCTAAGGACCCTTTGGTTCCTTCAGTCAAGACAATGAGATTTTTGAGAGAATCCAACATCTTATAAAGTCCTATTGCTCAAATGCTTTGCAGTGGGTTAAAGGCCGCAAAATTGTTACTTGCTGGGCAATACACAGTGGAGAGAAAGTAAAAAATAATTGTAGACAGGAACATGTTGGGTGGGGCTTGCAGACTTAGCCCTTAGTGAAGGGTTGGCTTTCTGGGATGGCATCTGGTGACAGATGACATATTAAGGCAAAAGCGGGTATTTTTTATCCTTTGGGTTTGGAACTAGACCAAGCCCCATAGTTCTTGCACCTACTTCCTTCAACCCTGACCTTTTAGGAAATGCAGGTCAACCCATTTCCTCTGTGGCCCTCCAACCCTTCCCAAGTACATTTCCATTCACAAGTCTGCTCACTGCTGGACAGCAGTGTCCAGCCACGGCACAGGTTGGCTTGGTGGTGGTGAAGGGTGCTTCTTAGATACTGGAGAGCATGGTGGAGGTGAAGATCTGTTGTAAAATTTGAGGGATCTTCTTGGTGTCCATGGCTACGAAGGACCGGCCAGCTGGCAGAGTTCTCTGAAGCCTGCCAGAAGGAAGGGAAGGAAATCACCATTGCAAATCGAGGCTCCCATTCCAGCCCCTGCCTAGGGGCAGTCAGGCCAGCTGCAGCATCAGAATGGGTCTTACAAAAGGATGTTTTCACTTTCTCATACCTTGCCTGCAATTGAATTGGCTGTCACTAGGCAGTGACAGGCCCGGGAAAGCTTCAGGGAGAGAGGTGGGAAAGCAGTGAGCTGAAGGGAATGTCTTCTCAGGGAAAATGAGTGGTTTTGAAGTGCTATGGGTTCCTGCTTACAGTCCCTTGATAGGACAGTGCTGGAGGGGCACATCTGGAAGTAGCTCACCTGCATCTGGCTGAGTAACTCGGCCTCACACTGTACTTCTAAAAGTTTCTCCTTCCTTAGAAAACAGCCAAGTCCCCAAGTGGGGCTCTCCTTTCCTCCCCATCACATCATATGAAATGCAGTCTGCTTTATCCAACGGCTGCTTTGACGGCTGAGCAGGCTCGTGGTCATTTTTTTAAAAATGTCAATTTATCATTTGGAACAAAAGGCCATCTTTGAAGGCAATACGATGGCAAGACAGATATATTGAAAAGAACACCGCCTTTCATTGTGCCAACGAAGTTTGGTTTTGGAATGACATTTAATAAAAGTCAGCACTCTGTGTAGGATCATGTATTTGGCATCCCGGGCAGACCAGCTAAGTCTGTACCGTGTCTTTTGCCAGTGGATGTTGGATCATTTCCCCAGGAAACCACAAGGGTATTATTGTGCATTCTTAAGTATTCCAACAGGATCTGTTCACTAGAAAGAAAAAAAATGCCCGTCTCAACTCAGCCAGCATTTGATGAGCTTGCTGCCTGCCTAATGCTGGGCTGGTGCTGGGGAAATGTGGACAGAGAAGGCTTTGAGGAAAGGAAGGCTCCAGAAAATGTCAAGTCCTAACACATAAAAGTGAGGGAAGCGTGTGCAGTGAGTTCCAGTAAGTGACCACGAGCCCGTGATACCCAGTCTGTTCTCACGCTCACTGATGCCACAGCATCCAAGGGGCTGGATCCTCCCTGGTATGAGGGTCTGTACCACAGATCCCCACACGTAGAGGCAGAAGGAAAAGCAGGCCCTCTATTTGTAAGATAGGATAGTTTTTTTCTGAGATACATTTTCAGTTGTGTTTTCTGCCTGTCATTTTAGGCAGTATTTTAGGCAAACACAAACCACAAACGCTTTCTGTTAGTTTCCTGGAGGCACTTATTGTCTGAGGATAAATTTCCTATAGTTATTATCAGCATGTTCACTGTAACATGTAACTACACACACACACAGTCTTCCTTTGTGTTCAAGGTGTCTCACCTACTTGTCTCTCTAGTAAGACACAGATTTACATACACACATGCGTATGTAGGCATATACATGTATGCTTATGTATATACATGTCTAAATATATACTTAAGTCATTGAAGTTTATGAGGATATGTATGCATATGCTTATGCAAGTCTCTATGTGTCTGTGGTAGTTTGAATGAGGACGGCTCATAGAGCTCTCCACTACTGTGACAGCACCATGCCTGTTTGCTTCCTGTCATGATGATCACAGACTAAACCACTGACGCTGTACACAAGCCCCAATTAAATGCTTGCTTTATAAGAGTTGCCTTGGTCATAGTATCTCTTCATAGTGGCAGAACAGTGACTGAGACAATGCCTGTTTACACACACCAAACCGACACACATAACATGCAGATGAACACAGTTTTTGTTATGCTATGAAATTTACTATTGTTGGTTTATTTTATCTAACCTGGGGCTTCATGCATGCTAGGCAAGTGCTCTACCACTGAGCTACACCACAGCTCTCTATATTTACTGACTTGAATGATCTGAACACAAAATGATTAGACTGGGCTTGGGGTCTCTGTAAAGTACCTACCCCATAAAATACTGTCTAACCTATTAGGGGGAAATAAATTTGGTAATTATTTATTTTATAAAACAACTAAAATAGCCAGGTGTCGGTGGCTCAGGCCTTTGATCCTAGCACTCGGGAGGCAGAGGCAGGCAGATCTCTGAGTTCGAGACCAGCCTGGTCTACAAGAGCTAGTTCCAGGACAGCCTCCAAAGCCACAGAGAAACCCTGTCTCGAAAAACAACAAAAAATCAAAACAACTACAATAAATTCTTGTCCAAAAACCCTAGAGCATCATGCTTCTTCAAATTATGACTGCTTGCCCAAACAAGCCCAAGGCATCCCAAGAATAACATTAGACTCCTAGACCCTGTTTCACCTGCCCTCCCCAGGCCCTCAGGCTGAAGCCTGAGAAACAATACATGTCATATATTTACTACACCTGCTGTCTGCTGTGACAATGCTTACCTGGCTGCTTGATCCCCTAAAGAGCCAATAAAAATGGCAAAGGCATTAACTTGAGGGTCACTTGTTAGGATCTGGGCAAATCGGGCAGGATTTATTCCGTATCGAGACAGATTTGCATCACTTAGGATGATGACAAAGTATTCATCAGCTTCTTCTTTGGTAATGTCCTTGATGGCATGCTCTGTCCCCTCGAGGGTGTGGTCCCCACTCATGCAGAACTGAGAGTGGGCATGCATGGTCTGGAAGTAAGAGTCAGGGCACAGAACCCATGAGTGAGCAACTCCTTTTCATAAACACGGTAATTTTTTCTATTGGCAGAGTGTCAGCCTTTTGATTGACACACTGAGTGGCAACAGTACAATAACATATGGTGACTAGCTTCCTTAGAAACAGTGTTCACAACGGACACTTTGAAAATTCAACCTTCTACTTAAAGCAAGAAAATATGTATGCAACTTGGTATCACACCGGAGAAGAGCAAGATGCAGGAGAAAAAATAAGTACACAAGGTAATCTGTGATGCTGAACGCTGTTTCTAGTGGCAGGGGGTAAATCTGTCTTAAAGTCATGTTGTCTACTGCAGATTTAAGTATGCGAAACTGAATTTATCATTCAAAAGTGCTAAGAGAAATAAACGATTTGGAATACAGAGTACCCTAAAAGGGACTATTCTTTCCTTACTACTGAGCATGGCCGTCTGACTGTGAGGAGTTCTGTTCTTAGATGCTCAGACCCAACAAAGCATTGAAAACATGCAGGGAAACTTATTTAGTTGGTGGAAAAGGAAATTTAAACACAAAAGATGGTTTCTATTTAGTGTTTTAAAGTGTATAATTTATCTACTGCTTCTTCAGAAACTCCCAGCTTTTATCTAATAGAGATTCTCACGACACAGAAGGGACAGAATGTATTTACCTTCAGAATTTCCAGTCTCTGCTTATTGTCCTTGGGGATTTTGTTAGCTGGAACAAGGCTAATGTTGTAGCCATCTCCTGAGTGTCCAGCGATGTCATACTACATGCAAGAGAGTCACAGAGCATGGCGTCAGTGACAGAGTGATCATTGGTTCTATAGACTCTCAGCTTGGGACTGGCAGAAAAGGAATAGAGAAAGACAGAGAGGCAGATGTATTCTATTGACAAAGGCAAACATATTTTGGAACTCATTCTGTTTGGGTCCACCTTCTTCTGAGATCTTCCTCTGAGATTTCTGCCCCCTGGAGGAAGGTGGGAGGGATGCTGAGGACTTTAGGGGATACCCCGACTTCGTGTGCAAGTTTGAAGGGAGCCCTTGTAAGAAGCACACACGGTGTGGGGTTCCAGCTGCCACGTCTGTACTCTCTCCTCTCTCCATAATTGTGGTCAAGTCTGGTAAACATAATGGGATATCACTTAAGATTACATTAACTGCCAGGACAAAAAGGGTTCTGGGGATGTAATTAAATTTACTCGATTGTGTATTAATCAAAAGAGATTATCTAGTGGGCCTAACCCAATCAATTGCACAGAGGTTTTTTTTTTTTTCTTTCCTGGCTGCTAATAGAAGGGGAAGGTAAATTTGAAGCATCAGGGAGAGCTGACATGAAGGAGTTAGCTATGATGGAGATGGAAGGGACTGTGGAAAAGAGCCTCAGTAGCCCCCAGAAGCTGAGAGCCAGCAGGAAATTAGGGACCTCTGTCCATGATTCTGAACAAATCAATTTACCAACAAGCACAATCTGATGCTGACCCTTCCCCAGAACCTCAACAGAGAACAAATGTGTGCACCTCTAGTTTCTATAAGTAAAACCTACTCATAGAAATTAAAGAACAAGGCTGGGCGATGGTGGCGCATGCCTTTAATCCTGGCGCTCGGGAGGCAGAGACCAGCCTGGTCTATAAGCTAGTTCCAGGACAGCCTCCAAAGCCACAGAGAAACCCTGCCTTGAACCACCCCCCCACTCCCCCCAAAAAGAAAGAAACTAAGGCACAAAAAGGCCAAAACTATCCACAGTTGTGTTCAAGATAACCTCTGAAAGTATTCTATGACAGAGGCCCTTGGGCATTTTGTTCCTTCTAACAGACATGGCAAGCTGCATAGTAACATACAAACACATCAACCTAACTTTGGATGGTATCGACCATGTGACTGTATAATATGCTTATCCACTTGTTAATGCATGGCATGTATCTTTCAATTTAGAAAGCACTGTCGAATTCTGTCTTCTGGGCACATGAGAAGTCCTGACTGTTGTGAAGAGGTCAGTGTTGGGAGTCGGGCTGCTCGTCTACAGAATTTCAAAAGAAGTCAGAGGTGGATATTGTGGGAGGGGTCAGTCTCTCCCACTGTCCCTCTGACCCCTCCCACTGTCCCTCTGACCCCTCCCACTGTCCTTCTGACCCCCCCCACTGTCCTTCTGACCCCCCCCACTGTCCCTCTGGCCCCTCCCACTGTCCCTCTATTAAAGACATTATGTGATGATATAAAGGTTGGGACACTGGACAATTGAAGTACCTGTAAAGAAAATAGTGTGGATCTGGGGATGAAGACTTTAGGGGACACTTACTTGGGACATCTGACAATCTAGCATTAATCAACTACTGTCCTCCAAACACCTACTGTAAGCCCCGACTAGGTGTGATCAAGCCATTTCCTATCTGTGCCTCTGAAAACGGTTCTCTGAAGGCAAGGTTTTAGGACTCATCTTTGCACTTTTAGTTACTGTGACAATGTTGAGCCTGTTTGCTGCAGAAATGCCCTAAGAGCCTGCAAACAGCAGTCAGCTTGCCTTTTGTTTGTGGGCTCCATTCTTTTACAATCAATCTAGAAACCAGAATGCTGTTTTTCCTAAGCCAGATGACAAACGCAATCTAACATAGCTGACCGAGGCTGCCACATCTGAAACGGGAAGTAGAAAAATTCCTGGTGAAAGTGCCCCACATTAAAACAGAAAGTGGGTAGCATTGTCTGGGAAAGATGAATTCCACTTTGGATGAGGCTGGGGTGAAGACGTAGCTTTCATCCCCAGGAGGACATAACTGGAGGTCTACACAGGATGGCTAAACCTTTGGAAACTATAAATCTCTCTACAAACGGCCAGATAAAACATGCGCTGTCTCCTACTCTGATAAATTTACACTGTAAATGACCTGTGAGGCCAGGACCAAATTACAAGTATGTGGCCTCCCTAAAGCTTGTGGAACATGGCAATACAGAGGGGGCCTCTGGTCCCTCTGGCTCACACCATCTGAACCTGCCCTAGGAAGGCAGGAGCTGAGAGAAGAGGAGGGCCATTCATCTGGGTAGTCAGAATTTGGAGGAAGGCCTGGCCCCTGGGTCCCCTGTGTACCTCCCCTGGGAGGGCTTGGTCAGGGGCTGAGGGGTTACGTGTGCTTCCCTTCCCCTCCCCTCTCCTTCGTGGTACTGGGCATGGATCCAGTACTTTCCCGCTGTGTTCAATCTCCAGCCCCCTTCTTGAGAGAGGGTCTTACTGAGTATTCCAGGATGGTCCTGAGATCACTGTCTTCAGGTGGCTCTTGAACCTGCAAAGCTCCTGCCTGAGTAGTTGGTTCCTGGCCTGTACTACCGGGTTGCTGAAGTACCTATTAAAGAGCGGCTCACACAGAGGGGAGAAGCAGATTCCCATGCTGCACTGCGGTAAGAGGACTATGACTGGGTTTTTCCTCCCTTTTAAGGGATGGTTGGAATTAATTAGATAATAATGGATGTGACCAGGTAGGACTTTACCCATGTATCTAAACATGTTTAAAAACAGTAGTTTTCTTCTCCTTAGAACTGTCTTGAGTTCAAGGGAAACATATGAACTCACTCTATTTTTATTTGTGTGAGATTATGTAGCCCAGGTTAGTCTCAAACTCATGATCCTCCTGCCTCAGCCACTCAGTGCTAGGATAACAGGAGTGTGGTATCGCAACAAGTTGGAGTCATTCATTTCCATTCTCTGACCGTTGACTCTACCGTTTACCCAGGCTGGGCCCTGCCAGTACCATCATTTAATGAGCCGGGATAGGCCACACACGTGTTTCCATGGAGCAGCACAGGACTCAGTAAACAAGAGCCCCATTGTCCTATCAACCACCCAATGGTTAGGCTGTAATTTTTCTAAGTGGCTTACCAAGTATCCTGGAAATCTTCAAGGAGTCGTGTTCTTAGCATTCAGCATAAATACTAAATGACAGCCCACGAGAGGCCCTCTCTAATGCTGCTTTGCTTTACAATTTGTTTAGATCCCCTTTACTGGGTTTGTTTTGAGAACCTCATTCCTTTAGAGGAAAGCATAACAAATATCAAGCAAATCAGAGTCTTAATGAAGACACAGACATTTGCCACCCAGCAGGGATTTAAAGCAGATGACAAAGGGAGACCCACACACCCAGAGCTACCTGCACATTCAGGGACATGACTGAGGCCTCAACTGAGTCCTTCTTCCAGGAAGGATCATCACTTGCTGGCTTGGCGATAGGCTATGCTCCTTTAGGCTTCTGACGAGAAGTCAGTATAAAGCAATCTATTTAGTGATGACGATGGTCAATAATACTTGCTTTGCTGTCCTAACCCACACAGCATCTTCATAAAGATTCTATGAACCAACTCTGCTGTGGATGGTTGACACCGATGCTGGGAGGGACCATCAGCCTTTCCTAGAGCAGAGATGTAGTGTTGCCTCTAAATTCATGTGTCTGATTGTTAATCCAAGACACCACAGAGAAATAGTGACTCTCCGGGCTATTCCTATATCTCTCCTTAAGCTTTTTGTGTCTTGGGGCCAATATTTCTGTCAACTAGTGGGTTCATTCTGAATGGACTCAACAAACTGTGCACTTTTTGGAGGAGTCCTACCTCTAGGTAATAGTACAAATATACTGAGAGCCTAAATCTGATAGGCTGACTGGTCTCCATATTTAAACTCAAGTAATGTCCTTAAGGCCCTGGGAAAGGAATAATTACAGATACTCAGCTAAGTGTGTGATAGAAGGAATTTCCCAGCAGGTGTCAGTGAGTCAGATCTTTCTATAGCCTTCTGGGAAGTAATATAGCCTCCCTGACCAAAATATCATCAAAGAAACCATGTCTATTATACCACCTTTGCATGCTGGGATATTAAAAATAGGAGATGAAAGATGATAAAATTTACTTTTGAATGAATTTTTAAAAATACTGATTTGGCATAAGTTTGGGCATAAGCAAAACAGAAATAAATATGATAAAAAGTAAGAAGGCTCTTCAAATATGGGGTTAGAAGTCCTGGCATTTCATTATCTAGTGGTATGACCTGGGCCAAGTAGTTAACTTCTTTGAATCTTTTATTTATTTTTTTTTGTGGAAAGAGATTGGTGAAAATAATTCCCAGCTCCAAGGTTCCATGATAATTTAATGGACTACCCAATGGAATGGAAAGTTGGCTTCTGGTAGTCTGAGGAGCACTTGTGTCTTGTATTCGTCTGTGGAGGGTAGAATGATTCACACATGTGAGGTGTGAGGACCAATGGCACTGTCTACAGAGGGAGTCTTCAGACTTAATAAGAAACACAAGACAGTACTGGTTCTAGAAGAATGGGTTTCTTTTTCATCTCTCTCTTTCTCTGTGTGTGTGTTTGTGTTGAGAACAGAACCCAGTGACTCGTATACAGGCTCGGTGTCCTGGTTAGTTTTTATCATTAATGTAGGAAGAGAGAGCCTCTGTTGAAGAACAGTCTGGCCTGGGGTCATCTTTGTGAGAGAGGACTCAGCTCACTGTAGATGGTTCCATACCTAGATAGAGGACCTGGGCTGTATAAGGAAGTTGGCATTCCTCCATGGTTCCTGCCCTGACTCCCACAGTAGACAGAGACCTGGAGATGGAGTACGTTTTTATCCCTAAAGTGCTGTTGTTCTTGGTGTTTGTTGCAGCATCAACAGGAAGCCAGAACACTGGGTGAATTCTTCACCGCCAAGGCTGTATTCTGAGTCCAGGGTTTTTCTAATGCTTTTTTGCATTTAAAATGTTTTGGCTATGGAATCCTTGCTCCAAATGAAAAACTGTATGAAGTCCACTTTGTGCAACACTGTGCAGAATCAAGGTAAGTGAAGGTGTTTTAGCAAAGTTAGGGGAGGGAGGGGTCCATGGAAAAGTGCTGTCTATGCCCCTCAGCCCACAGGTTCTCCACTGGATTCCTTATATACCGGCTGCCTTAGAGTATGGCTCACATACCTTCATAGAAATAATATATTTTAAGTTATGGTCTCTCCAAAGCCCAATTTCTGAATGAGAGAACCTATTTTCTGGTACCATTATTTGAATATTTAGTAGAAAAATAGTCACCAAACTTTTGGTGTTACTGAGTACTTTGAAAAGAAAGTCTATTTTAAGATGACAATGAAAACTCCCAGGAAATTGAAGAAAAGGACAAACTGGAGTGAAGCTAAAGGGGAAAAAGCTTCACTTTTCATTTCACAGAAATGAAACAGTTTACACAACTGACAGCATTCTAAGTGGATAGTGGGAATGATGCTGGTCATCGGCTGGGGGAGCTGATGTTGACTCTCAGTAACTTGTGCTGTTCCGGGAATATGCAAAGTCAGATGGTTGATTGAACACTCTGAGGTACTTTAAAGACTTCAAGTGGCTTAGCAAATGTCACGCTGCTGAATTACCTTTCTGTCTCAGTAACTCTCATGCTTGAGGGCCCCTGTGGTTTGGCATGGGCTGTGCTCATGTGGAATAGAAGTGGAGGCTGACTCCAGACTCTTCAGCGAGCCTCCAGTACAGACTATAATGACCCACAAGTCAGCACGGAGCTCTAGCCAAACACAACAGGAGCAGATGCCAGGGGGGATGGGGAGCACGCAGACCACCACACCAGGAGGCACTTCTGTAGGCTGCAGAGCAAACGCCGAGCGGATGCCATCACAGCCCAGGGCCGAATGAATTAAGAACTGTCTGGAACTGAGGGTAGGAGCTTCAGATCACGCGGCTACATCGTAAAGACACCGAGTGATGCCAGGCTGGCATTCCACAAACTGTCATCTACTCATGAGTCACCTTCTATTTTCTGGTAAGTTACGGCCTCTCGGTAGTTATTGCTGGACTGTTTCTTCTTTCATGAACAAGAAACTGAAAGTACAGACAGACTAAGTGGTTGGGAACAATGATGACGTAAGGGCTAGCAAATATTTCTAAATCAAGTATTTCTTCCATGGATGCAGCTGGAATGTGAGAGGGGACAGACCGAGTCTCAGTTCTTCGTCCTTCCTCCTTTGTACTGTGTGCAACTATTCCTCCTGTACCCTCAACATCTAATTAGAAACACGAAAGGCTCTCACAGAGTATGCGATTCTGTCACTCTTATGTCCTCTACAGAGGGGTCTGTGGCCAGTCAAACCTCAGACGTGGCAATATGACAGGGAAGACCTGGAAAGAGCTGATGAAATCAAGCGGATGTGGGGCAGGTCCAAACCCCAACATGAAATGAAGGGGACGTTGGGGTGCGGCCATTTATACTGATCCATGGCTGTCTAGACGTCCACTGGTTGTCTAGACACCCATTGGCCATCAGTGGTCGAAATGATTTAAATACACCTTTCTATAAGGACAATCAAGATGCAATCACACATGAGGTATGGGTCAAGAGAGGGAAAGTCTGAAGGGCAGTCCCAGAATCCTGTGCAGGAAAGACGATGACTTCTGGCTCCCACAGAAGCCGTGTCATGTCCGTCACGACGTAACTCAGAAGCAAAGTCTCTTCCCAGATATCCCGGAGCAGCCTGTCATAGTGAGTCTTTGATTTGGGCTCTGGGATTCCTGGCAAGTGTAATAGAGCCCAGAGGAACTCTTGAATAGTTTCATGGTCTTCAGTGACCATGAGGGACAGGAGCGGGAGCCTCTCATGCTAAGTCATGTGTTATTTGCATTTGGACCACTGTGCAGAGCCTTGTAGCCTCACAGCACACACTGCTGGGTGCTGCTTATCCATCACCACTTAGATCTGAAAGTCTTTTCTGCCAGGGACCCCGGGAGGGCCAACAGGCTGCACCCTTCACAAGGAGCTTAAGTGAAACAGCCGTGGCTGTCCTAGGGTACAGATGGGGTGACTAAATGGCAATGATTCAAGACTGTCTGATCTCAGGGGTTACTTTATCCAGTACAAACTCTAGAGTTCCGATGTTGGTCTGGGCGTCCTTCACAGTGTCTATACACACCATGTCTCTCTGGCATGTGTGGTGCCCGGGTTGCCCTGTGCATGGCCAAGCTCAGATGGGCTCATACTGGCTGGCAGCACAGCGGCATGGGGATGCCCTCCCTATACGCAGACCTCTGAAATGGAGGGGTTAATAGCAAAATGAAGAACAAGAAGCTGGAAGTGAGCAGAAGGCTGCTGTCTCCCAGAAGTGTCTTCGCGTCAGTTGGGGACCTTTATCATCGTCTCTCCATTGTCCATGTGGAAAGGGAATGTGAGGCAGAGAACAGGACATTGTCAAGTGGTGCACAGACCACGGCTGGTGTCAGTGCTAAGGGGCACCGGGATGAGGATACCCAGGGAAACTTGGGAAGACTTCTTCGGTGTTTGTAAGGAACGTCACACAGCTTGTATGTTGCCTGCTTTTTTCTGTGGGAACCAGAGGTTTATCAGGCCCATCAATTATGTTACTATTAGGACAGGGAAGCAGCAGGCCACTCTCCTGGCTGACAGATGAACTGCTGAGAGCAGGTGTCCAGTGTTCTGGGTGGAGTCTGCTTCCACGGCTCACCCTAGCCCAGCAGTAGTGATCAATGAAATCCTAGACCCCCAGCTCATGCCATTACCTTGAACTTCTCCTCATAGTTCTCGAAGGCCTCCATGACCATGCACACCGCCTCCATTGAGCGCTCCAGTCGGCGATCCACCCCGTTGAAGCGGTACATACTGCCAGAAACATCCACCACAAGGCGCAGGCGCTTGGGCTTCTGCTGTGGGCTACCCAGCTAAGGGAGGGAATGGCGGAAAAACATGGTCAGCTGCCATCCTGGGTTCTTACCCAGGGTCTGCAGGGCCAGCCCAAGTTGGGCAGATCTGCCCCAGCGGGTAACTGTATTCAGAAAGTGGCTATCAGATCACACTGGCCATCGGGACCACATGGGAAGTGCTTCTTCTGGAATATATTAAAAGCAGCCTTCTGGGGCTGACTGCTTAAAGACAGCGCTTTAAACATACAAATCTAGAAGGATAGAAGCCCATGTCATTTACTCTATGCCTCAGCACCCCCTCCCCTGGAAAGAGAGAGTGTGTAACTGGAGGAGAGTCCACATCAGTTTCACGTGAAGAACATTTTCTACCTAGGCTGAAGAAATGCCAGACTGCCAAGACACGGTTACATGAGAGGGAGTCTGGCCAAGAGCGTGAGGAAGCATTTTTAGAATGGCTCAATTCTTAACCTTTTTTTTTTTCTTTTGCCAGTGAACTAGTGTTTTTTTTCTTTTCTTGGCATTGAGCTGCTATCTGGCAAAAACTACTGATTTAAAAATGTGAAACCTTATGAGATTGCTTTGGAGCCCAGACCTGCCAATGTGCAAAATTTTAAAAAAGTTTGTCAGTAGCAATAAATAAGAGAAATTCCAGATTATTCTGTTATATACTTGCTGACATGCATGAAAAATAATGGGCAGAACCAGTAATTTCCAGAAAATACTGTAGGGGGCTGGTGAGATGGCTCATGAGATGGCTTGGCAGGTAAGGTTCTCGCCATCAAGCCTGACAACCTGAGTTCGAGTCCCAGGGCTGTGTGGTGGAAGGAGAGGACTGGACCCCCCCCCCCCCCCCACGTCCTCAGACTTTCATATGCCTGCTGTGCCATGCATGGCCCCTACATATGCACAAGCTAAATAAATAAAAACCTGAGAGCCCCACAGATGCTCAGAGCATAACGGTAGGAAGAAATGTCATATATATTCCTTGAAAACTTGCTGAGTCTGCCCCAATTAGAAGCAGTGGCACACGGCTGAGACTAAGCCACAGATGTGTCCAAACACTTACTTACCACAGTGAGTCAGTAAGGAAGCAGCTGTTGACTCATGGCAACGACACAGAAACGAGAGCCCCCAAATCACCACCAGACCCACTCTGAGTAAACATTTCAGACAGCAGCGTCCCTAATGTCACTCACTGCACCCCCGCCCTCAGCCGCTACCAGAGGAAACCCCAAAGCTCAGTAACATTCAGTGTTTGACTGCGTTGCCATAGTATGGCAAATGTTTACTTACTATAATTAGTGTAACTTAGGGGAGAATTCTTGTTTTCTAAAAACTAAAGGCATTTGATGGACACAGATTCTTAAAGTTCCAGGAGAGCAGGACCACGAAGATTGCCCTGAAGACCCCTCTGGGATTCATAAACAGCAGTGTCCATTCCTCCCACCCACAGAACACCACTGTGCCGCAGAAGAGGACCTGTAGGCAGTCACACAGGTAGCTCTTGGCTTTCTGCGTGTTCTGTGGATGGGATACGGGTGGTCAGAGTGAGGGATGCTGGTGGTGGTCTCGGTTTCTTCTTTGCCTGAGCTGGGTGGGGTAGGAAGGCTGGCTTTCTCTCTGCTCAACACTGTAACTCCATGAACTACCTTCTGCAGCTCTGTGAGCTGGCATCTTCAGGATTTAGTATTTACTCCCTTCGCTGCCTGCTTGGACCTTAGGCCACAGTTTGATCCCTGCTGGTTAACTCCTCTGGATTTGATTAAAGCTTATACTACCTTTGTAAACAAGCTTTGTGCTGATTTGAGACAGAGTGACTTTATGTAGCCCTGGCTGCTCTGGAACTTGATAATATAGATCAGGCTGGCCTCCAACTCACAGAGCGTCTGCCTCCCGAGTGCTGGGATTAAAAAATTGCATCACCATGCCTGGTCCTTGTATCGATTCTTTTCCTTCCTTCCTTCCTTCCTTCCTTCCTTCCTTCCTTCCTTCCTTCCTTCCTTCCTTCCTTCCTTCCTCCCTCCCTCCCTCCCTCCCTCCCTCCCTCCCTCCCTCCCTCGGTTTTTTGAGACAGGGTTTCTTTGTGGCTTTGGAGGCTGTCCTGGAACTAGCTCTTGTAGACCAGGCTGATCTTGAACTCACAGAGATCCACCTGCCTCTGCTTCCCGAGTGCTGGGACTAAAGGCGAGTGCCACCACTGCCCCGTGTATCGATTGTTTCTTAAATTATCCTCTGTGTGTTCCATGTCTTGATGAGACTATTTATTTATCTATCTTAGTGTAGTTGTATATTCTGGGTTAGTGGTATTTTGACACACTTAATGAACTCTCTACAGAAGGCTGAACTATGTGGCTCTGAGGCTCAGGGTTACCCAATACTTACTTGGGGTTCCAAATCACCCCGACGTTTGTAGATGGCTTTTTCTCCAGCCAGCCCATCAATGATCTTGGCGTCGTCTAGTTCCCCAGTAGCTTGGTGTCTTAGCCACTGTCTTTCTTTACCTTTGGCCTGCAATGTCACAAACACATGCACACGGATCTTTATGTACTCAGTGGTGTAGTTCTGACACACTCTTTGCATGAATAACAGGAAACACTCCAGGATCCTATCAGTAAGAAATGGATCTGCAAGAACGTAGTCACATGTTCCCTGCTCTGCTTACAAGAGAAGCGCTTTGTGTGTGTTTTGTCAGTTGTAATTGTTTTAACACGGAGAACAAATACAGACAACACACACACACACAAAGGACATATGAACAGGAAGGCGGTAGGCAAATTAACCCCAGTGGAAAGTTCAGTGTCTGGAAATGTAATGATGATGTATTTCTTAAGGATTTTCTGTCACAGCAAACCTAGAAAATTTATTAGGTAACAAAATAATCAGCTTTAACTTGCTAATGGTCACAGAGTCTGTAATTCAATCTTTAGTGGTCTCCTCTTGGACAGCAGTTTTGCAACTCAAATTCCTGAGACTTAGTATGCAAACTAAAACAGCTGAGGAGGACGGGAGCAGCCTGTGGCCCCACAAGGCTCTCTGTTTTTCTAGATCTGGAGATCATCTGAATTACTTTTCAAAAGGTATTTCCATGTGTGCTTTGCCACCGTAACTTACAACTATGCCAGGTGGCCCAAAGGGACAGTTACATGATAAAGAACTCTGTGCTGGATAGTTTTATGTTAGCTTGACATCGGCTAAAGTCATCTGAGAGGAGGGAACCTCAACTGAAAACAAAAAAGTGCCTCTATAAGATCAGCTGTAGGCAAGCCTGTAGGGCATTTTCTTTAAGAGACTGATGAGGGAGGTCCCAGCCCACTGTGGATGATGCCATCCTGGGCTGGGGAGCCTGGGTTCTATAAGGAATCTGGTTGAGCAAGCCACGGGGAACAAGCTAAGTGACACCTCTCCATGGCCTCTGTATCAGTTCCTGCCTCCAGGTTTCTGCCCCTTTTGGATTTCTGTCCTGACTTTCTCAATGATGAACAGCGCTGCTGAAATGTAAGTAAAATAAACCCTTTCCTCCCCACACGGCTTTTGCTTGTGGTGTTCCACCATATCAATGGAAACCTTAACCAAGGCAAATCCTAACATCCCAAGGAAAGCACATGATTATGGCAGTCCATGATCACAATTACATTAGGATATATGCTAAAGGAGCTTTGGAAATGCAAATATCAAAATATGAAGGAGGATGGAATTGTAGTTAGGATTTGAGGTTTTATATTTCCTTTGTGGTAACAGGAAGGGGCTTAAATTAAGTTTACTCTAGCTGCGGTAGGCATTAAAAATTGCCAAAAGAACCTGATATGATTCAGGAGTGAAACCACTACTAGTAGGGTGGGTGGGGAATCCTCAGGGTCAGTGCCTCTGACCTATGAAAATCAGTGAGTGGATTTCTACAACGGTGCATCTGTTATCTAACACAGCATAGAATTCTATAGCAGTACAAATCCCATATTCCCCCTAAACCCAGCTTAAGAATTCAACTTCCGCACTGCTTTGATGTCGATGGCAGCTAATCACTGCAACCATCTTCACAGTGACTTTTTCTTTGCTTATTTTCCTAGTTGCTGTTTAGGTGACAGTCAACCTTCATCAGTGTCAGGCCACTGCTCAGCATGATGGTGCTTTCTGAACATCCAAGAATGTCAGGTCTGAGAGGAAGCCTGTGGCCTTCCCAACTAGCCAAGAATGACAGGAAAAGCTGGACAGTGGTGGCACACGCCTTTAATTTCAGTACTAGAGAGGCAGAGGCAGGTGGATCTCTGAGTTTGAGGCCAGCCTGGTCTACAGAGCAAGTTCCAGGACAGGCTCCAAAGCTACAGAGAAACCCTGTCTCAAAAACAAAACAAAGGAAAAGGATGAAGCCAAGTCCTGGTCTCTGGCTCGGGGAGGTGGCTTGAGAAGGATGTCTGTCTGACCTGTGATCACTCAGTGGGAAGGGAGGCTAGAAGACTTCCCATCCTCCTACATCTGTAGCCATATATTTCACCAAGACTCTATGTGACCTAAGCTTTATCCCAGCATACCCTATTTCCATGCACCCTTGGAATTCAGGAACATACACGTGGGGCAACTGTCCACCAGAATTAAAATATTCATGCTGGTGATCTGGGAGGTTTACATTTCATGTTTAAATTAACATACCATTATTCAAATATGATAATTTTGATAAAGGAATGATACCCCAAATATAAAAAAATTGCTTAAAACCCAGTTTAGACAAGTGGGGGATAATCTGTTATTGTTTTGCTAAATGGACATCTTGCCATTGTGCTCTAAATACTTATGTTGACAGTCGTAGATTAGTGTTGCTCTTATGAGTGGTGGCAGTTAATGCGACTGCCGAATGCTCACTGTGTAAGGCTCAGGGAAGGAACACTAGGTAGAGAGAGCTGGATGGGGGATGCTATGAAAGGCTGTCTTCTAGACATGGCCATTGTAAGCATGAACAAACAGCAGCTCCAGTTACCTGCACAGGACACACACAAGCTGGGGCTGTCAACATTCTGTTGTGGATGGGAACAGGGCTCATGAGGTCCCTACCTCTAGCCCAAGGAGCTACTTGAGTTGTGGGGATGTTTCATTCTTCAGTGCTATAGGCACTGGTGAGTTGCTCATGCTCCAGTAACATACCACACCTGTCCGCATGGAAGTTTCCAGTAAACCTAAACTCTATACAAGACACGAATGCTGGAGGGAAGAATGGGGGGGCGTGTTAGAGGGCCATGGGGAGAAAGAAATTAAAGAAGATATTAGAAAATGGAAAGATCTCCCATGCTCTTGGATAGATAGGATCAACATAGCAAAAATGGCAAACCTATCAAAAGTAATCTATATATTCAATGCTATTCCCATCAAAATACCAGAACAATTCTTCACAGACCTTGAAAGAGAAATATACTCAACTTCATATGGAAAAACAAAAAACCCAGGATAGCCAAAACAATCCTGTACAATAAAGGATCATCTGGGGGCATCACCATCCCTGACTTCAAGCTCTACTATGGAGCTATAGTAATAAAAACACCTTGGTATTGGCATAAAAGCAGACAGGTAGACCAATGGAATCGAATTGAAGGCCCTGATATTAACCCACACATCTATGAACACCTAATTTTTGACAAAGAAGCTAAAAATATAAAACATAGTCAACAAATGGTGCTGTATAACTGGCTGTCAACATGTAGATCCATATCTATTTTGTTATACACAAAACTCAAGTCCAAATGGATCAAACACCCCAATATAAATCCATCCATACTGAACCTCATAGAAAAAGTGGGAAATACACTTGAATGCATAAGCAAAGGAGACCACTTCCTAAATAGAACACCAGTAACACAGACTGACAGCAACAATAAATGGGACCTCCTGAAACTGAGAAGCTTCTGTAAAGCAAAGAACATAGTCAACAAGACAAAATGGCAGCCCACAGAATGGGAAAAGATCTTCACCAACCCCACATCTTTCAGAGGGCTGATCTCCAAAATATACAAAGAACTCAAGCTAGAAATCAAACTACCAAATAATACAATTAAAACATGGGGTACAGACCTAAATAGAGAATTCTCAACAGAACAATTCCAAAATGGCAGAAAAACACTTAAGGAAATGCTCAACATTCTTAGTCATCAGGGAAATACAAATCAAAACCACTCTGAGATTCCATCTTACATTGATTAGAATGGCTAAGATCTAGAACACCAATGACAGTTTATGCTGGAGAAGATGTGGAAAAAGGGGAACACTCATCCACTGCTGGTCAGAGTGCAAACTTGTATAGCCACTGTGGAAATCAGTATGGCAATTTCTTAGAAAATTAGGGACCAATCTACCTCAAGACCCTGCAACACCACTGTTGAGCAAATGTCCTTGTGGTGTGAATGTGCCTCAACTATGCTCATAGCAACATTGTAATAACCCAGATCTTGGAAACAGTCCCCCCAACTGAAGAATGGATAAAGAAAATGTATATTTAAACAATGGAGTACTACTCAGCAGTAAGAAACAATGACATCCTAAAATGGACAGTACTAGAAAAAAGTCCTAAGTGAGGTAACCCAAAACCAGAAAGACAAATATAGTATGTACTTGCTCCTAAGTGGATACCAGACATAAAGCAAAAGACACTCAGCCTACAATCCACAACCCCAGAGAGGTTAGAACCCTCTTCCAGAAACAGATGGAAGCAGATGCAGAAATCCCCCAACTAATCAATGGGCCAAGCTCCTGGAGTACATTTGAAGTGAGGGAGGAAAGAGAATATGAGCAAAGGAGTCAAGACCATGATGGGGAAACCCACAGAATTAGCTGACCTGAGCTAGTGAGAGATCACTGACTCGGGTCTGACAAATGGAGAACCTGCATAAGACAAACTAGACTCCCTTACTATAGGTGACAATGGTGTGACTGGGACAATAGAGCAGTGCGTCCAAGATCTAACTCTAATGCACAAACTGACTTAGTGGAGCCCAGCCTGGACACAAGGGTGTGGGGGTGGAGAGGTGCCTTGGTCCTGCCTCAACTAGATGATGGGACAGACTTAGGGGACGCCTTGCCCTCTCCATGGAGCAGCTTGGAGGGGGAACTGGGATTGGAATGTAAAACAATACATTAATAAAAATGTAAAAAAAAGAACAAAGGCTAAAGAATAAATTTAATACTGTTTTGTCAAAGAATAAAAAATTTAAAGGGCAAAAATTTAATAACAATATGCCTTTTTATTGAGGTGCTGCTCAACTGTGCTTGCAAAATAATGTTCAGTATTCTACATCACTATGGAGTTTCAGATTAAAACAGCCATGAGATATCACTCTATGCCTAGGAATGGCCTGAATCCAAAACTCTGTCAGCACCAAATGTGGGCGAGGATGGGGGATGTGAGGAACGCTCCCTGCGGGTGGAAATGTTACAGCCACTTGTGAAGACAGTTCGGCAGTTTCTTGCAAAACAAAACTCATTCTTACGACCCAGTAACTGCATGCTTTAGTATTTACACAACATGAAACCTGCATCTATACAAAAATGTGCACATAATGCTTTATGCCTAACTGCAAAACCTTTGAAGCAACCAGGATAAGCTGTGGTATATAGTCTGGCAACGGGATACTATTTAGCACAAAAAGAAATAAACCATCAAATCTGTAGTGATCTTACTGTACTAAAGTGACCAGAGCATTACAGCTTGTTATCTTATAGGTTACCACCATATGGGGCTGGAGAGATGGTTCAATAGTTAGAGCACCTACTGTTCTTACAGAGGATTCAACTTGGGTTAGCACCTATGTCAACTGGCTCACAACCACCTGTACCTCCAGCTCCAGGGGATCTGAGTCCCACTTCTGGCCTTTACAGGTAGTGCACTCACATGTGTTAAACCCCCCCCCAAACACACATAGTCATGAGACTACCTATAATCTCAAGACTTAGGAGGCAGAGATAGGAAGATGGCAAGTTTGAAGTTCACCTGAACATCAAAGACCCTGTTTCCACCCCCTTGGGGATCCTGCATTTTGTATTCAATTTTTTTTTTTGTTTTTCCATATTGCTTTGGAGGCTGTCCTGGAACTCGCTTTGTAGACCAAGCTGGTCTTGAACTCACAGAGATCCACCTGCCTTTGCCTCCCGAGTGCTGGGATTAAAGGCGTTCACCACCCACCAACACCTGGCTTTTGTATTCAATTTTAATACTATTTTCTCAGTAATTTCATTTCTTTTGGCTATTATAAAAGCAACAGTCCATGCTGAATGGCATCAAATCTGTGGGACTGAAGCTGTGTTCTGGAGAGTCACTTTGCTGGCTTCTGGCCACACTCTACACTCACCATGGAAACACCCATGGTTACTGGGATTACACAGCAATGTCAAAAAAGCTGGAGGGTTTTGTTACTCAGAGTCACATAGGATTGTCCAAAGGTGGCAGGAAGGGGCCAAATGAAAATCTTGCTTTGGCCACAATCTGCAGTTTTATAGTTTACATGAGGCCTCATCCATTTTTGGCCAGTAGCTATGTTTTTAAGCAGCCTGGTGACTATGACCTTAGTATTAGTAGATCTACCTGGAAACAATTCCCCTATGAACTTACATCAAGACTCAATAGGGAACATGAGCGAATATTGTGTTGGCATCTGGCTGATGGTACACAATGTCTTATGATCATAAGAATTACATGTAGGTTTATATAAGTGACCCGAAAAATTCTACCAGGGAACTGCTACACCTGATAAACACCTTCAGTAAAGTGGCAGGATACAAAATTAACTAAAAAAAATCAGTAGCCCTCCTATATAAAGATGATAAATTGGCTGAGAAAGAAATCAGAGAAACATCACCCTTCACAATAGCCACAAACAATAGAAAATATCTTTGTGGTTACTCTAACCAAACAAGTGAAAGACCTATATGGCAAGAACTTTAAGTCTTTAAAGAAAAATTAAAGAAGATATCAGAAAGTGGAAAGGTCTCCCATGCTCTTGGATAGGTAGGATCAACATAGTAAAAATGGCAATCTTACCAAAAGCAATCTACAGATTCAATACAATATTCATCAAAATCCCAGCACAATTCTTCACAGACCTTAAAACAACAACATTCAAGGTCTGTGAAAAACAAAAAACCCAGGCTAGCCAAAACAACCTTGTACAATAAAGGATCATCTAGAGGCATCACCGTTCCTGATTTCAAGCTTTACTACAGAGCTATAGTAATAAAACAGCTTGGTATTGGCACAATAACAAACTAGTTGACCAATGGAATCAAATTGAAGGCCCTGATATTAATCCACACACCTATGAACACCTGATTGTTGGCAAATAAGCTAAAATTATACAATGGAAAAAAGAAAGCATCTTCAACAAATTGTGCTGGCATAACTGGATGTGGATATGTAGAAGACTGCAAATCTATGTCTATCCCCATGCACAAAATTTAAGTCCAAATGGATCAAAGACCTCAACATAAATGCAGCCACACTGAACCTCTTAGAAGAGAAAATGGGAGGTACCCTTGAATGCATTGGCACAGGGGACCACTTCCTGAACACAATACCACTAGCACAGACACTGAGAGCAACAATTAATAAATGGGACCTCCTGAAACGGAAGTTT